AAGGCATCCATTTTACATTCATTCTCAAGCTGCATGCTTAGTGAGAGGAGGGAAAGTGTAGCTGCTGTTCATTAGATAGGGAAAAGCATAGCTAGGTTAGGGTTAGGGTATGCTTTTTTTTTTTTTTTTCTATGTAATGTAATTGCAGTTAGTTGTCTGCCACTGCTGCCAGCTTCTGTGTCAGGCTCACAGTGCATACTGTGCCCATTTCCCCAGTCAGTGCCACCACTTATATCTGGTGTCACAATAGCTTGCATTTAAAACAAAAAACTTTTTTCACTGTTATAGATTGAATAGCAGTCAGTTGTCTGCCACTGCTGCCAGCTTCTGTGTCAGGTTCACAGTGGATACTGTGCCCATTTCCCCAGTCAGTGCCACCACTTATATCTGGTGTCACAATAGCTTGCATTTAAAAAAAAAAAAACTTTTTTCACTGTTATAGATTGAATAGCAGTCAGTGTCCTTAAAGCGGGTGTGTTACGCTAACAGTGGATACGGTGCCCAGTGCCACCACTCACTGTTGTCATAATAGCTTGCATTTAAAAACAAAAAACTTTTTTCACTGTTATAGATTGAATAGCAGTCAGTGTCCTTAAAGCGGGTGTGTTACGCTAACAGTGGATATGGTGACCAGTGCCACCACTTATATCTGGTGTCACAATAGCTTGGATTTAAAAAAAAAAACTTTTTTCAATGTTATAGATTGAATAGCAGTCAGTGTCCTTAAAGCGGGTGTGTTAAGCTCACAGTGGACACGGTGCCCAGTGCCAACACTAACTGGTGTCACAATAGCTTGCATTTAAAAACAAAAAACTTTTTTCACTGTTATAGATTGAATAGCAGTCAGTGTCCTTAAAGCTGGTGTGTTACGCTAACAGTGGATACGGTGCCCAGTGCCACCACTCACTGGTGTCTTAATAGCCTGGATTTAAAAACAAAAAACTTTTTTCACTGTTATAGATTGAATAGCAGTCAGTGTCCTTAAAGCGGGTGTGTTACGCTAACAGTGGATACGGTGCCCAGTGCCACCACTTATATCTGGTGTCACAATAGCTTGCATTTAAAGCAAAAAACTTTTTTCACTGTTATAGATTGAATAGCAGTCAGTGTCCTTAAAGCGTGTGTGTTACGCTAACAGTGGATACGGTGCCCAGTGCCACCACTTATATCTGGTGTCACAATAGCTTGCATTT